CAGATGACCCTAAGAAAACCACTGAGGGATATAAAAGAATGTGCACCATGCTTAATCTTTAGTCTCCTGGAAGTAGAAATGCACTAAGCAACTTCTGAAGGTGATTTTTTTTTAATCAATTTTTAGTTATGTAGGAAGATGTAGATTTTCTGCTTAATGTTTGTATAAAGCCAGTTTTATGCTACTATAGTGAGTGAAGATCTTCCTTCCAGCATCCTCTATACATCTTAAAGCTGGATATGTGAACTCCTCTTTCATGATTTTAAAAGGGAGAGCACAATAACAGTATGCAGGAATTGTTTTAGAATACAGACATCTTGTATTGTATATTACTAATAGGTAACCCCTCTTTAAATTTACATAACACTTTATAGTTTTACAAAGTACTTATACCTCCCTATGTAATTGGATCTTCATAAGGCAATGCTAAAACTAGAAATGCTCTTTTCACTTGCCCTATGCCTCGTCTTTGTCCCCCAGGCAAAGCTATAAGACTACTGCAGTCTGTGGCTCTGTGTTCGCCTTCTGTCTGCCCGAGTGAGGCCTCAGTTCTGCCAGATCCACCTACCAGGAGTTAACCAGGCATGGGATTGGTGTATGTTACCTGAGCATCAACAGCTTTGCTCAGAGTCCTGACATTGTCTGGTTTCCTATAGTCTGTTTAGTTCCATTAGCCAGGGGAAATCTGGAAATAAATTCTTCATGTGTTGGTTTTTAATGCCATTGTATTAAGATTTGTAAGTGTAAAAATATTGATATATATGCTAGGCAGCTTCATGGAATATCTCTAAGGAAGGGATTCAGTCTTGGATCACCCTTTTGTCTTCTAGGAATAACGGCCTTATATTCTGGACTGAAACCTACGATGATTCGAGCGTTCCCTGCCAATGGGGCACTATTTTTGGCCTATGAATACAGCAGGAAGTTCATGATGAGCCAGCTTGAAGCAGACTGAACTATTCTAGTGAACCTGGATACAAGTACAAGTGTTTGAGGACTAATTCATCTCAGGGTTTCATGAAGTACAAGACCAGTGTGGAATTATTTTTAATTTCAGAGTATTTTGTTGTCTTCCATTCTTCTACCCTAAATCTTAAACTTCATGGAAGAACCTCAATTTTACATAATCTGATTTCTGTCAATAATTGTACTGAAATAGAAAAGCTGCTGCTGTTGTCGTTGGTTGGACATACAGGGTGAGCCTCTGGCCCTGGGTACCTAATCTGACAATCTAAATATAATCAGGGATTTTGCATAAACTTGTATTATACATGCAGTTTGGATGGTTGTGTGTTGTGAATGAAGCATAATTTTGTTCTGTGTTTAATCAGATCATGCTAGAAAAACCCAGAGGTAACCATGTTTCATGAAGATGGTTATGATTACTTAACCCATTCTAGATATATGGTCGCTTAAACTCTGCTAAACACATTCACTATAGCAAGTGGCTCAAGTTTTTAAAAAGGATTCCTGTGGTGCTTGAAAACCAATATTTCCATAGATCTTAAAGAGAATATAATTGTATACTGATATGGCTTCCATGATTTAACTTTCAGAGTGGATTTTTTCCAAGATGCTCTATTGATAAAATAGTGCCATTAATTTTTTTGATGGGATTGTATACTCTCTGAAATATTGTTGGGTGTGGCCTAGAGTATCACGCCTTTGGAAAGCTGCTTGGCCTTCACTGTGCCAACTTCCATCCTCCTCTCACAAAGAGCTTCCCTCTGCTGGGCTTTATGCTGCAGAAGGGCCTGCGGAGAGGGGGTGGTGCTGCTGTCGGTGAAGACCTTGTGGCCCACACAGCCCTTAGCTTTGGTCTCTGGGTCCTGGCCTGGAGAGGGTTCCAGAGGATTCTTTGGACCACTCAGTCATTGCCTCCACCAATTGGAAACCCGTCCTGGGAGTAGAGTGCCAAAGCCAAGAGAAGTCCTGTTCCCTGCCTGGTAATGGACAGTACTCCTGGATGGAGTCCTCTCCACAGAACTAGACAAAACGTAGTGTTTGCACTCTACAGTGAGTAACGTCGGCTGATCCATTCTCAAGTTTTTCTTGGAGTCCATATCTCCATTGTGCTTTGGCAGTGTTGGAGCCCCTTATATCTGGTACCGGCAGTCATTGAATTTTAATGACGACTGTATGTGAGGTGTGACTTTATAAAGCAATGAAACAAAGTAATTTTTATCAAGCTATGCCATATGTGTGCAGTAAGAGCAGCAAAACTCATTCATCTGATTCCCACAGACTTGGAGGTGGCAGCTGTTCTTTGGCCATCTGCATGGTACTTCATCTGAGCAGGCTAGAAATGTAGTACCGGCTTCCGGCAGGGAGTGATTGCTCAGGGTCCCTGGTCTCCCTGTGTGGTGCCCGTCAGCATGTCAGCACTGTTGGGGGTAGACCTCACATGTTCTCCTTAAAAGGTTTAACTAAATATCTTCAATAGAAACAGTCTGAGGCAAGTAAGAGTGAGTGTGAGCAAGGAATGGGAAGTCAGAGGGATTGATTTTTCATTCTATTGAATTCATCGTGTATAATTTGTACCATTTCAGATCTGTACTCCAGATAAAAATATGGTCACTGTGTTTAGAGAAATTCTAGTGTTCTATATCATTAAATTATTTACCTAATATTTGAGTATATGAGTTCTTTATATACACTGCAATTAGGAAACTCAATTCACTAGAGTTATTATCTCCATCAGGCTGTGGATGTGATATGTCTTATTTGGCAGGTTACCATTCTTTTTCTTTAAATAGTTGAACTTCTTGCTATTAAGTTATGGATACTGTTCTGGATTATTAAATTACATTTAAGAAAACCAGTATCAAAAACAGAAAAGCCCTGGCCGTTTTGGCTCAGTGGATAGAGCAACGGCCTGCGGGCTGAAGGGTCCCGGGTTTGAGTCCAGTCAAGGGCACATGCCCGGGTTCTGGACTCAGTCCCCAGTGGAGGGTGTGCAGGAGGCAGCTGATCAATGATTCTCACCACTGATGTTTCTATCTCTCCCTTTCCCTTTATCTCTGAAATAAATAAAAACGTATATTAAAAACAACAAAAAAAGAAAACCAGTATCATTCTGATACATTCTAAGTTAGTTTCTTGTGTTCAAAATATTATTCACACTGAGTTCTAAGACAGCAGTCCCTGTGAGACCCTAAGCAAGTTCTCTAAGAGAGGAAGCAGATGTGTGGCAACTCATTGCCAGAAATTCTGATGAATCTATGGGTTAGAGAAGAAAAACCCCAACTGTATCTCCTTATTTCAAAGGGCAAGATTCTTAAAAATCGGGGTCTGCCAGAATTGAAAAAGATGGGTCTTCCTCCTCCATGAGCCAGCTAAGCACTAACCCCATTCAAAAAAGCCTTCCCCCTGATGGGCCCTGTGGAAACAATACAGCCTGTTCTGCCACAACACGATTCTGTAACACCAAGTAACTGGGAACAATGCGTCATAACTTGGAAGGAACTGGAGAGGGTCCTCCAAGATCTCTCCCTTCCGGGAGCCAGGTTGGGGAGAGTAGGATGATAACTTGTCGAAAGCAAACGGCCTTCAGCTGGCCTGCCGCCCTGGCAGCACTGGCCCTTTGTGGGCTATTTTGAGAGAAAAGGAGCACCCGTGCCTTGCTGCTTTGGCTCCCTCCAGCCCTTCTGCAGTTAAGATACTGCCCAGTGTCCCCTTTTAAAAATACTGTGGCAACCTCCAGGCAATCTGAGCTGCCACCTGGGTGGTTAGTGGTTAATGTGCTGGTTACGTTTGTTAGTTGGAATGGTTTGCCCCAAACCTCCAAACCCCCTTAACTCCCAACCCGGTTTCCCCCGAGCAAACCATTTTAGTCTGCTTTTTGCAGAGTGCAAGGTTTTTCAGGAATGAGTATAGTCTGTTTTAGCAGAGCACTGTTATTAGTTGCCAGCTTTGTTTCCCGATGAATTTAACTTGGTCTGGATCAGTGGTCAGCAGACTCTTTAGTCAACAGAGCCAAATATCAACAGTACAACGATTGGAATTTCTTCTGAGAGCCACATTTTTTAAACTTGAACTTCTAGCGCCACTTCTTCAAGTAGACTGGCCCAGCCGTGGTATTTTGTGGAAGAGCCACACTCAAGGGGCCAAAGAGCTGCCTGTGGCTCGAGAGTCGCAGTTTGCCAACCACATTGTTGATAGCCTTGTTGATAGCCTTGCCAACTAGATTGTTGATAGCCTTGCCAACTAAAGGAAAAATCACTGAAGTAAGGATAATTTCAATAGAGCCAAAATAGAACTGCTTTCAAGCACAATCATGGCCTTAAGGTACAGTGGCAGTGAAAGTACTTAGAATAGCACTGGGTACCGAGAAAATGATTCCCTCTGGACACAGGACTAGAATAAAAAGGTGACCTTCCTTCACAGAGTCCCCCAAGATTCTGTATCCGTCATGTTGACCAAGATTCTCCCTCCACCTCGTGTCTGTGTGACTACAGGAAGCTCGTCATGCTCTGTGCGTGCTTGGAGAGCAAGAGAAAAGCTTGTGTTTGGGGGGAGGGACTGCTGTGTAAACATGTCTCTGGGTTTAAGAGTCTCTGCTGTCAATCTGATATTTGTTAGTTTGTAAATCAAGAGGAGGAAGAAAATAGAAATTACCTTCTAATCTGAAATTATAAATGTGAAACAAAGGGAAAAAATACTTGTCCAAAAATATATAAGTAAATGAAATAAACTCACAGTATTAGGGGGAATCACAATTTTTAAATATTTCAGTTATTTTTATATGAAAGTTTTATTTAAAGTTTTTAAAAGCAATAACTAATGTTCCTGTGTATTGTGTTCCAAATTTATCTCAAAACTTTGAAGTATATTCCTTCAAAAAGGAAAATAAAATCGCCATTGACATTTTCTCTTGTATATATTTAATAAGTTTAATAGTATTCTCAAGAACATATGTACACATATGTAAATATAAGTTTACCAGCAAGGAAGAGGGTTTTGAAGATATAAATACATAGCAGGGACTGGGAAGAATATGATTCTATCCTAGAAGGAGAGGTACACTTAAATCAGATATCAGGTACAAGTTAACGTCATCAAAATAAGTTTCAACTGCAAACTCTGGACGATAAATTTTCCATGCTTTTGGCTTATGGGGATTATCCAATTCACTTCTTGAAAGATAAAGCCTAGAATAGAAAAAAAAAAATTACATTTTAGGGCTTATAGAAAAGCCAGTTAAAGCACCCCTTTTCCAGGCATTAAAAAAATGATTTGCTGGCCACGATTAGTCTCTGTCCACTTTTCTGTATGCTCACACACTCTTATGGAGATGCAAAATATCTTAATTTTCACTAACAAACACAGAGTAACAATATGTCACTTTTAACTTTGCCTTGTATGGGTTGAATAAAAGACATCTGGGTTTAATAAAGTAAATTTTTATGTGACAGAAATCAGCCACAGAGAATAGGTGTGTATTAAAACCATGAATAAAATGCTGAGTGTCTTTTCAATGATTAAGTTGGCATTTTAGCTGATAACGATCTCATAACTAATAAAAACAGCTTTACCAAGAAGCATGGAAATTTCAATGTTGAAGAAATCTTTAGAAACATGTAAAAGTGAGGAAGAAAGTGATCTAACTGTGGTTGACTCTCCAATATGAACATGGTCTTTTAAAGAAAAAGGAAAAAAAGTGTTCTTATTAGCAATTACCACTTCTGAGGAGTCCCACCAAATGAAGTTCCACCCAGATATCTACTTTGCCTCTGTTGTGAGTTAAAGTTTATCGTTTGTATACATCCAGGGGGGGAAAAAACTAGTAAAAAAATTTTTCAATCTAAAATTCATTCTATCCAAATCCATTAAATGTGTATACATTATAAGTATGTAGATTAGATGTTCAAATTTCCTGTTGCCTTGCTGGACTCAAGTATACAGTTCAGATTTGAAGAACAGGCTAGGTTTATGTAATGAGAACTATCAACTCATGCCAAATACAATCACAACTGCTTCAAAACTCACCTGCATGATTTTTTTAAAAACATTTTTTTTCTGTTGTGTTGGGTGGTATTGTGATACCAATTAATGCTGGTGATCTTAATCCAGCATCTAGAAGGCTTCAGGTATCTGGAGAAGATGTGGTGTGTAAATTAAATAAGAGTCCAGAGATGTAACATAATTTTGGAAGGCATTTGGGAGGCCAGAGAAGACTTAGCTAAAGGAACTAAGTTCTCCCTTGTCTCAGGACCCCTTGCTTTTTATTAATACAAATTGTCCTAAGGCAAGGTAGATATACACTTCAAAGGGAAGGGTTAGGTATACAGAATTCATTATCAGATTGAGGAAAAACTGCCTACAGCTGTTCAGGTGCTTGGCCAGTAGGAGGCAATAACGTGTAGATTGAAATGCCTTTAGCTGTCTGGCAGCAAGAAATCATTTTATTTGTCCTTTTCAGGTTTGGAGAAATGCTTTCAGCAATTTCCAGGTGATTCAGCCTTGCTGACATGCTGAAATTGGCTTCCTACAACCAATAATCTTAAATTTGTTTCAGCACCTTGAAACAAATATTTAAAGTGGAGAGTTTCTAGACTTGGGAATGAGTTTCCAGATGTAGTAGAAGTTTCTTTGGAATAATAATCTTCAAATCAATACATACATTTTTAAAAGTGGTTCCCAATTTAGTTATTAGAAATCACTTCAAAATGTCAGACTATTAATGAATTTTAAAAAATTATAAGGTAAAGTTTACTTAGAAAGTTGCAGAAATAGTAGAAGGTCCCTTGGAGCTTAGAAGAAAAAGGGAGAAGATACTCACTCTGAGGGACAAAAGAGGGAGAAGAGGCTTGGGTGTGTTTCAGAAAAGAGAGAGAGCTCACTATGACTGGTTTCTTTTTAGCTGTCTTCATAGACACTATGTCTTATGACTTCTGCCCTAGAAAAAACTGTGCCAATTAACTTTTAAACTAGCTGTAGCCACCCCTCCCTTAGTGCCCTCCCCCAACCAGGTGACACCTTACTTTTGCACAGAATTTGGTGGTGGTTGATGATCAATAAATGAATATATACTGAGGTTCTGTCCTATTTAAGTTACTGAGCAAACTCAAATGGCTGGATTTATTACCACATTCAAGATCTGATGATAATACGTTTGAACTGATAACACAGTCCTATGGCATGGCCTTGAAGATAATGCAAATCCCAAGAATAGCCATATTTTTGAGGCTGGGGGAAGGTCAATGGGGGGAAAAAAGGAGATATATGTATTACTATATGTAATACTTTAAACAATAAAAAATGCTAAAAATAATTTAAATAAATAAATAAATAAAGAATAGCCATATTTTTGAGGCTGGGGGAAGGTCAATGGGGGGGAAAAGGAGATATATGTATTGCTATACGTAATACTTTAAACAATAAAAAATGCTAAAAATAGTTAAAATAAATAAAGAAAGAATAGCCATATTTTTATAATAACCAGATTAAGTGAGTTTGTGAATGAGGAATGGTGATGAGGATTTTTTGGTTTCTGTAAACTGAGTTTATGGCAATTAACAAAAGACTTGCCATTACACCTTACACAAACATAGAAGATAAGGCTATTTCTACTGGATTATATAAGAAACCATACCTGTTATTTTCTATAAAGGATGTGTGGAACCAAAATAAAAAGGGGCAGTTGTCATAGAATTTAGGAAGATCCTAAAAATACATGGATTTAAAAAAAAAGAAGGTTATTCTACATAATAAAAGTGATACCAAAAACTAATCACCCAAAAGGGATTAAAATTCCTTCCTTTATTCATTTATATATTTATCAAACAATTGCAGCCATTAAATGTGCACTGTTAAAAGTCTATTACATGACACCAAGGGAGGAAGGCTTTCAGAGATTGCTGTTTCTATCAAAATTTTCAAGAAAATGTATCTTTTCTTCTTTTTATTTTATTTATTTATTTAAAATATATATATATATTTTATTGACGTTTTACAGAGAGGAAGGGAGAGGGATAGAAAGCTAGAAACATCGATGAGAGAAACATTGACCATCTGCCTCCTGCACACCCGACACCAGGGATGTGCCCGCAACCAATGTACATGCCCTTGACCGGAATCAAACCCAGCACCCTTCAGTCCGCAGGCCAACGCTCTATCCACTGAGCCAAACCAGTTTCGGCTCTTTTCTTCTTTTTTTAAATGTTTTTATTGATTTCAGAGAAGAAGGGAGAGGGAGAGATAGAAACATCAATGATGAGAGAATCTTTGAACGGCTGCCTCTTCACATCCCCCACTGGAGACTGAGCCAGCAACCCGAGCATCTGCCCTGACTGGGAATTAAACCATGACCTTCTGGTTATTAGGTTGACGCTCAACCACTGAGCGACATAGACCAGGCATGTATCTTTTCTATGATAGTATTTATACATTTTATCTGGTTTAGATAGTGCTAAACAGAATCTATTAAGGACTTATGCCCATTTATGCCCAAATATATCATCCATTCCTACAAGGAGCAGCTAGTATATAATTAACTGTCATTATTAATGATGATAGAAACACCTAAATTTTTTAAAAGTGCTTTTACTTCATGGCCCTTGAAAATCATAAAGGCCAGATAATACTAGCATCCTCTGGGCCATTGCTCTTCACCAGAGGCCAATGATTGAGAGAGAATTCAGACTGGCTCCATTATTCAAGGGGTAACCATTCAAGATGGGAACCATCCAGTTCACTGGCTTTAACACATTTACCATTTCAATACTTAGTAGATACTCCCCTAATAGGAAGAAAGCAGGGGCTAAAGAAGGACATAGGAAATATGTTTTAAGTCAATAGACACAGCCCTGGCTGGTGCGGCGAGTGGTTAGAGTGTCAGCCAGAGCACTGAAGGTTTGCAGGTTTGATTCCCTATCAGGCATGTACCTGGGTTGCAGGTTCAATTTCCATTCCCAGTTGGGGTGTGTGTTGAAGGCAATCATGTGTCTCTCTCACATTGACATCTCTCCTTTCCACTCTCTCTCCCTCCCTACCTCCTTTCCTCCCGCCCTCTGCCATCTCTGTCCTTCCTTCCCTTCCACTCTCTCTAAAAGAAAAAAAAAAAAAAATCAATGGAAAAAATATCCTCAGCTGAGGATTAACCAAAAAAACTTTTTAATTGATGGACATAGTTTCTTATTGCAGTGTTTCCCAACCTTCTCTCATGATGAGAATCACCTGGTGGAGTTGTTAAAACACAGATTCCTGAATCCCAACTAAGAAGTGCTAAACTAGAATTTTTGGGAACATATAGGTAAAATTGTATACTTAACTAGTGCTCTAAGACAGATTTTATATACAGAGCACTAAGTTAGGTATGCAATTTTACCTATATGTTCTCAAAAATTCTAGTTTAGCACTTCTTAGTTGGGATTCAGGAATCTGTGTTTTAACAACTCCACCAGGTGATTCTCATCATGAGAGAAGGTTGGGAAACACTGTCTTATTGGATGCCTTGGTTGGTTTTACAGGAAAATGAAACTATTAAGATTAGAAATGTGTTATATACAAAGTAATGCCCAGACATACATTTTATGACTGGTCAATATAAATTAAACACTCATGATACAGTAATGACAGCAGAATTCTTATTTTTCATAAAGTAAATATTGGATTTTTAAGAAAATAAACATTTTATTAAAATACTATTATAATATATTATATAACAATTCAGAAGAAAGTAAAATCTTCACTTTAAAGTATTTAATAAATTATGAAGAGCAATGTGTTTTAAATATATAAAATATTAAAAAATTGACTATTGCTATGCAGTAAAATATACCTTTGTCTTCTTTACATCTTAGTTTTTGTGTTACTTAAGTGAAAACTAATATAAACATATTATATAGAAATTAGAAAAACAAATGAGCAAAACTTTAAAATTACATATGTTTTTTTCTTCCTCCCTTGTTAGGAGTTGAAATCTATCATCTATCTCCCTTGTTAGGATCTGAAGCAATGGAAATCCCAAACCAGAATCACTCAAAAGACCAAACAAGAATAACAGTATAGGTTGTTTCTTGATTACTCACTGAAGAAGACAGAAATTTCACTTTTACATCATCATACAGAAGTGGACAGTTGCATAGATGAATTATTACTCTATCTCTTTCAATATCATGAACTATCTGTGAATAAACACATGGAATTCAGATAATGAGATAGCTGATAATGAGACAGAAAGTATAACAGGGAAGTTCATGTTTACTTATTGAGGCTTCCTATATTTTCCAAGTACTCTTGGTCTCATAGCCCTATAACTACATGAATAAATAAATGTTAATCATTATTTCTATAAAGATTTACCTTTTTAAAAAGCCAGTATGATTGAGGGTTATGGTGGGGCACTGTTGAAAAGCAAAGTATTCAATTTTCTATTACAGTTTCACCAAGCAAACATTAATATTGTCTGTGTGTCACCTGGTTTTCATATGTTGGGAATACACTAAGAAACTCAATTTTAAAGCTGACATTCACATTAAAAAAAGCAAAGCATAACTGCCATGCTTTGTTAAAAAATATTATTTGCTGATGGCATCATGGGCCTTGTCATAGCAGACTGTTAGATGAAGTCACCAAAGACAGGCCAAATCTTTGGAATGAACAACATTGAAGCTATAGTAAGTATTTCTTTGTTATTGATCCACCCTTGTGTAATAGTGCCACCCACAATGAGAAAGGTCTATGTTAGGCCTTGGAAAAATACAAAAGAAGGTGCTGACTCAGTTGAAAATTCAGGGAGCTATACACATAAGGGATGATAGTAGAATGGCATATAATTATGTGTTGAGCTGTATGATGAAGACTGAGCGTGCTGTTGCATGCTTGGAGAGGTTAACAGGAGGTATAGAATGAGAAAGCTTCATTGAAGAGGCAGAACTTGAGTTGGGAATGGAAGGATTTGTATAAATGAAGAAAAGATCTGAAAAGAGAACCCAGTTCAGACGGGAGGTGGTGGGGGGAGGGGAAGGAGGAGAAAAGACCTGCAAAAACATGAAATAGAAATTAGAGTTGTGTTCCAAGGACCAGAGGGTCCCAGGCTACTTGAAAGGGGATGTGCAGGCCAAGTTACTACTGGAAATGATCTCAATATCATAGGGTTATATCTTGAGAGTTCAAGAGCCAGGAAAATAAGAAAGAAGTTATTAAAGAGCATGTGGGGCAATTACTATGTGACAAAGTGGCCTGATAATTATTGCAGATAACATTTACTTAGTAATTTATAGTTTACAAAGAAGCTTCACATATATTAACCAATTCAATCCTCACAATACTTGGAATGTGATCTTTATTTTACAGATAAGAACATTGAGACAAAAATGTTAACTGTCTTTGACTATTGGCACACAATATGTATTCTGCTCTACCTTCAACTTGTCACAATGAGAGCAGTATTTCAGGATGCAAATTGTAGGACTCTATACACACACTGTATAAGGAGGGAGGGGAAAGGTAAGGAGATGCCAGTAGAAATTAAGGCATGAGCAAATGACTACATGAGCAAATGGACTAGGGAGTGGCAATAGGAACAGAAAGTGAGTGAAGAGAGATTTCAATGGTATAATCAGCAGGATTTAGGGGGCCAAGGCAAAGAGAGGATCAAAGATAATACCAAATTTGAAGGCCTGAATGAGAGAATGCTAGTGCCATTTGCAGAAACAGAAGAAAAACTCATTTGATAAATATACTTTTTTCGTTTTTATTGAATTTATTGACATGACACTGGTTAAAAAATTATGTAAGTTCCAGGTGCACACACTGCAACACATTATCGTACACTATTTATTGTGTGTTCATCACCCCAAGTCAAGTCTTTGTCTATCACCATTTATCCTCCCTACACTCTCCTGCACCTGCCCCCAACCATTCCTCCCCAGGCAATCACCACACTGTTGTCTGTGACCTTGAGTTTTTCCTCTCTCTTTTTTCCTTTTTTCCTCAATCCCACCACCTTTCTCCCTGACAGCTATCAGCCTGCTCTCTATCCATGAGTGTGTCTCTACTTTGCTTATTAGTTCAGTTTGTTCATTAGATTCCACATATGAGTGAAAGCATAAGGTACTTGTCTTTCTCTCATTGGCTTATTCCACTTAGCATGATAATCTCCATGATCATCCATGCTGTCTCCAAAAGATAAGAATTCCTTTTTTACAGCCAAGTAGCCTTTCATTGTTTAAATGTACCACTACTGATGGACACTTGGGCTGTTTCCAGATCTTATCTAGTGTAAATAATGCTGCAATAACATAGGGGTGTGTATACTTTTTGAATTATTAATATTTTGGGTTTCTTTGGATAAATTTCCAGAAATGGAATTGTTGGTTCATAAGGCACTTCCACTTTTAATTATTTGAGGAACCTCCATAAAGCTTTCCACAGTGGCTGTACCAATCTGCACCCCCACCAACGGGCACAAGGGTTCCCCTTTCTCCACATCCTTGCCAACACTTGTTGTTTATGAATTTATTGATGATAGCCATTCTGGTATATATGAGGTGATATCTCATTGTGGTTTTAATTTGCATTTCTCTGATGATTAGTGACATTGACCACCTTTTCATATGTCTATTGGCTATCTGCAAATCCTCTGGAGAAATATCTATTCAGGTCTTTGCCCATTTTTAAATTTGATTGTTGTTTTTTGTGTGTTAGTATAAGTCCTTTATAAAATTTTGGATAGTAACCCCTTATTGGGTATATCAGCAAATATGTTCTCCCACTCAGTAGGTTGTCTTTTCATTTTGTGAATGGTTTCCTTTGCTGTTCAAAAACTTTTTAGTTTGTTGTAGTCCAGTTTGTTTATTTTTTCTTTTGTTTCCCTTGCTTGAGGAGATATGATGTGTTTGAATTACAGTAGCAGAGACCGTCCATGCCGTAGCTCCTATATCTACCACACAGTGCATGCTGTGTTGTGTGAATGAGAGAAAAAAATTATAGTTTAAAGCAGAAAAATGGATGAGCAAAACCAAGAATAGAGTATGTACAGAGGTAACAACAGAAAGCCGAGGATCAGGCCTGAATGAGAGCCCTCAGTTGGGAGAGGGGCAAAAAGAAGGGAAAGAAATGGTGTTGGAGAGGTAAGAGGGGAACTAGAGACAAGCCTGAGAGTTTTCTAAGATTGTATTTCTTAGATCCATGAAAGAGGCTTTCTTGTTGCTTCAGAAAAGGTCTGTAGTCTAAGGTATTTTTTCAACATTTAAAAAAATATTGACCTGACTTGCCACCTGGAAAAAGCTGCTAAGTGCGATGACATCAAACAAAGCAGTGAAGCGGGCATCAGAGGGCCCCTTCAGCGCATCCAGGGTGATACCGCGGACCCGGTGTGGCCTTTGACTTTAACAGTGACCACCACTCCTTTTATTTTTGCTGGGGCTGGCATTGCCCTCAATGTTCACTTTGTCAAGCTCATTTCCTGTTTTGACAATAAATTTCGCTACAGCTACAGGGTGGGGAGCCTTATGATCCATATGGCCTCCAAGGTAACAGCCCCTGGACCATGAGCCCCAGCGAGAGAAGAGAGGCCCTCAGCTGCTGTGGAGTCCTTGCCCCAAATCAGTCCCCCAACACACTGAGCACCCCCTGACCTCCACAGTTTTCATCCCCGACTTCCTGAGGAATGGGCCGGCTCATGAACTCCACCTTGTCATGCACCATCAGTCAGGTTCACTGTGCCCAGCAAAAATGAAAATTGACTACCAGGTCCCATTGCTTTGGGTCTTTTCACATGTCATTTTTTTTTTTTTCTCATAGTGCAGTCCCACAAGATGTCTGAGTTAGAATCATGTGAGACATTGCTAAATCTAGATTCCTGGGTCTCATTCCAGATTTCCTCAATCATACTTTGGTGTACAATCCAGGAATCTGCATCTTTACAAGCTCTGAGGTGATTGTTATGCAGCCTAAAAGTTCAGAGTCAGTGCTACAGAATAAAAATGACCAAGAAAAAAAGATATGGCTAAAAATGGCCAGAGATAAGAACAGGTATATGAATTTAAAAATCTGATAGATTCATGAAAACATGCTTGGCATTGTGCAAAAATGAAAAGCAAGGCAACACTCTGAGCTGAAAATATGTTCTGGAACATGCTCTGAACAATGAGTTTAATTTAACTCAGATTGGATTCAAACCCAGGGGCACCAAGTTGCATAGAAACAAAAAGCATCATGGCCTCTGCTTGTGGGGAGCGAGGGCTGTGGGAAATCAACACACTGATCTGACATTGGATTTAAGCAGTGCTTTCCCAGTCCACATGCTTTCTCTTACCCTACAGTTTTTGGAAGCAGAACAGTAAAAGACAATCTTTTGATGCATTATTATTTGCACTTTTAGATCATCACCGTTGCCTTTTCCAACACCTGAATGAAAATAAAAAGTTAGAGTAAAGATCAAAAAGTCTCAACAATTAACATTATGAATTAAAAAGAGAGGAAATCCCAGGTAACAATATATCAATATGAAATAATTTGGGTGCATGAATTTTGTCTCTGAAAGACAAGGCTTCAAGCCAATGCTGTCTCCTAAAGCTGACTTTTTAAGTCTGGAGAAAAGACATAGTTCAACTTCTAAGCTTTGTCTTTCTAGAAGAAAAGCAATTAGGGAAAGTAATGTATAACCTTTCTTGCTAATGTGTTGCTTTCTTCAAAATTCAAATCATGATGTTTCTTAATCACAGTCTAAACTCCTCTTTCTTTAGTTCCTAGAGAGCAGTTTCTTTGAAAATATAAGATACACAAAATATAGGATTCCTGTGGTGTTTAGCATGCATTTATAAACAAATGGTTTCTTGTCCCTTTTTTCTATTCAAATGATCCACTTCCTTTAGCACTTCCTCAAGCCTCCAATCAAGTTTTATTGCTTTTGCTCAACCTGCATATTTTATTTAAATATGCACAGAACTAAAAGTACAGAAGTAAAACAAATATATCTCGATCATTCCTGACTATTCACTTTATATAATGTTAGCTTTGTTGTCATTTCATTTTGTTTCCACCAACACCATATCATTAACTTGTCATCAGGAATCAGTTTCTTTGCCTCAGTAATCTCAGTACCATTCTAGCTGCAGAGCTTCTTTCTAATGATGCCTACCAAAACCCAGGAAATACAGATTTAAACTAAGTCAAGTATTTATCACGTGATAAGAAAAGGGCATTGATTTAAAAATTTAAATTACAATACATGAAAAATTTTAAAAATAATTACATGATTTAAAAATTAAAGGTAAAAAGCAATGAAGTAAAAAGTCTGTCACCCATCTAGTTACTAGGTTACTAGGTCTCTCCACATCTAGTTAATTCTCCACCCACAAATAGATAGCCACGGTCTTGCTTTATGCTTCTATAATTAAGTATAAAAATATATGCTCCCACACATTTTTACCAATACAGACACACACAAATATGAACACATATTTATTTCACTTTTTGTTTTATAGAAATTGGTGTCATACTATAGAATTGTCCTGCACCTTCCATTTTTAAAACACATGTCAACATTCATTAATAAGTATGATGATATGGCTAGTTCAAAGTATTGCACATTTATAGCAGATAAGAAAGGATGAAATGAATCTACATACAGACACAAAATGGGTCAATAGTCAGTTGCATTACACCGGGCACAATTAATTTGCATTTCTATGTGTAACTGTTGTGCATTAATATGAGGTTGTTACAACTTACACAGCTGTAAAATAGTTTCAAGACCATGGGAGGTGGAGACCACCCAGAAAGTGCACTAGATATTGCCCATTTCCAAGTCTTTCACAGTTTTTTCTCCCCAACCTTTCTGTGTGATCATAAGGACCTCAAGGGAAGATTATTCTTATTCCAAAGGAGAGCCGAGGTCATTGCGTTTGACCTGATTGTTTAATTGGGTACAGCAAGAATTTTAACTTACCACATAGGCCTTCCTAAGTTGGCCCTGCAAGCCTAGACCCAACGGTACTGACCAGCGCTGAGGCCACACATGCTCTCTGGAAGTCTTCATGAGGGGTCTCAAATAGGACTTTTAAAATCCTCTATTGTATGTTAGCCTGAGAGTAGGAAACCAGACTTGTGAAACTCTCCACCAGTTTTCACCTGCAGTACTCATAAATTTGGGTTAGTTCTGCAGTTCTCCAGGTGTGTGCTGTACATTTTACTAAACAATGTCCCACAGAGTTTAAGTAAAATTCAAAATATTAAGAGAGAAGTGACAGTCTTAAGATATAAAATCAGATTAAGGCAACATATGAAATTCTAGATCTTATTAAAAACATTTTGAAGCTTAGGAGTTTGAGACACTATTCCTAGTTTTCGTATTAAAGAAATACATTACGACTCCATTAGACTAAATGCTGGTTTGCCTGTTTGGAATAGTTTAATACGCACAGAGCTCTGTAGAGATATTTTTGCTCCCATGGTTAACAAAGAGGAAGTTGAGGTTGAGTATACATTCAGGCACCACAAGGGTTCTCAGGCCACTAAGTTGGTTTTATATTTGGGATTAAATTTCTGAGTGGAAGTAGCTGCTCCAGCAGCCAACTGTGCTGCCTTCCTCACTGCAGAATAAAGCAGTCCAGCTCTATTTGCAGGTAGCCACTGAGAGTGGGAAGAAAGATGGAGCAAGGTACTGCTGTCCTCTATCTTCTACCGCCTGGCTCTTCCTGGGGAGTCTGGCAAGGGCTGGAGTTCCATTCAGCTCCCCTACAGACCTCCCCCACACCCCTTGACCCAGTCACGATGGCCTTTGAAGAGGAATGCCATCTACAAGGCCTTCTCACCAACAATTGCTCATTTATACACAGTGGAGGCATCCTGCCACAACAGGCTGTGTTTCACTGTCTGCAGAACAATGCTTGTTTGGAAATCTAGACCAAAATGTCCCCCACAGGCAATGCTACTGAGTTGAAGTTGTTTTCAGAAGTCAGAAAACTATGTAATCTCTTTGTGGTAATTCATTAAAATTCCTCACTGTCAACAAGAAGTGGTGGTGATGTGTGTGTGTGTGTGTGTGTGTGTGTGTGTGTGTGTATGTGTGGTTGGGGGGGGGATTAATGCACGTAAGCTGAAAAAACTATATTATATTTTAACTAACAATTTTAATTTATTTTCTGACTATGCAGTTTTATGTATTTTTAAGGATTTTTAAATTTATGAATAATTGGATGAAATGTTAAAAAATATATATTTTCAGATCCTTATTTTGTGTGACTCCTCAGAAGACTAAACACTAAGCCATCTGGGTGGATGCCAACTCCTTGGCACCACAGCTCTCCACCCTCCTAGTGGGCCAGTCTGGCTGCTGCTTTAATTTAAGGATTTGGGAGCCTTGCCCGATGATGCACCTCTGCAGGGGAGAGTGAGTCTCAGACCTGATGACATCCCTTCCACACTGAGCCTGCTTTCCCAGCTCCTCTGGGGAAGCTGTGCAGAGAAGCCAGGTGGGTGACTGAATGAGAGAGAAACTGGCCTCAAGACATGGGACTCGAGGCCAGTTCCTCTCTCCACCTCTCTTCTTTTCTTTTCTTTTCTTTTCTTTCTAAAGTCCCGGAGATGAATGATCTGATGAATTTCCCTGGTTATTTGGGGGATGGTGGATCTAGTCAACTCTTTTGAGGCTTATAAGGATTTTCATTCCTGGTAATAATGATAAATAATTGGTAACGGCTAGGGGGCCGAAAGACACCCTCGGAGCCCGGGTTTTTCCCAGCTCTTTCTGTGTTCCTGCAGATTCGGGTAACAAAGACCTAAGTGCTGACCTCAGAAAGCTTTTCTTGACCCCCAGGATGGACTGGGCCAGCCTCTGCCTGCCCCCAACACTATCGTCAGCTCTTTTTCTATGTACTCATTCCGCTCCTCTGCTTCCACCCAGGGGCTCGAGGCACTAGCATGGGTCCTGGTAGTTATTTGTAAAAAGAATTCCTGGCAACAAAATTCTTTTGCAAACCAGATGTTTAAGACATGTTGATGGAGTTGAAGGTGACAGAGCTATAGGTGGAAGAGGGAGGGGAAAGGAAGAAAGACCAGGGTGATGAGAGAGAAAGGATCCCTGAAAGGGGTAGGTGAAAAGAAAATGGTGTAGGGAGGCCTCTGCCAAGAAAACATAATCTAGGGGTGAGAGTGAGAAAAAATGTTCTCTAGGACAATGGGCCTTCCTCTTCTGAATCAGAGGTCCCACTGTGAAAAGTCTGCCCTGGGCATCAGTGAGAACAGGAAAAAGGGAAGGGGATCGGGTACCCCAAACTGATGATGGGAAACATAAAGGTAAGGGTTGGTAATATGGCCACAGCACTGATCCTCACGTGGGGGTGAGATCCATATGTGAGGATTTCCAAAATAGCTCGGAGTTGGGATTCTCTCTCTGTATATAAATGTGATCAAAATCCTCCCAAATAGTAAGAACAGTGCCCAATTATCCAATAATATTTAAAGCACTTACCATTAATTGAATAAATAACAAATTTTTTTATCGTAAGTATTTTTCTTGGAGGGAGAGTCAAGTTATAAATATTCTTCACATCTGCAAAATAGTTCACATATCTATTCTGGAAAAAAACACACACAGAAATCTTAATTTAAGTGGAGATGAAAAGTCTAAAGTCAGCATATCTGATTGTTTTACACAGAACTTAAGTAGATTAATTAGCTAAGGGAACATTGATTGGGTGCTACTCTATAACTTCATTTTTATGGATGTTGCCTCAAGACTGAATATCTACCTTAAACAATGTGGTGGAGGAATAAGAAGGGAGCCAGGTGCTGCTGAGAGAGCAGATAACCACAACCAACTAGAAAGCAGCATCCAGCAGGAAACAATTAAGGAGCCACTATGGATTTGGAGCATGAAACAAATGAGAACAAATCTGTGTGAGGTCAGAGGCTTAGCTGTGGCGACGCTGATGGAGAGTTTGTGGTTTGGTGGTGGGCAGCCTTCTCGGCACAAGGGAGGGCAGGTGTACAGACGCAAGAGGAAGACCTCCGCAGGCCAGTGGCAGATACGTATTCCCTTGTCTATGCCAGCTAGCATTTCTTCACTTTCCACTTCAATTTTGTTTTTGCAAGGAAGCCCTGGGAATTCTCTTAGCCTAGTCCTTCTCCTATGGCAGGCTGCTTACTCTTTTTTGGAGAGTTCTGGTACTGAATCAACTGGACGAAAACATTTATCGGCTCTGCCCCACCCATTGGGCAATGCTAATAAAATTAACCGCCATCCTTTCCATCGGAAAGGGACAGAAAAGAGAAGGGCTAGTGCAAGTCTTTAACTCGGGGACCGATGAAATGTAGTCCATAGGGAATGGCCAGCAGTGTGCGGTCAGAATGTGATGGCATCTGAGAACCACCACCCCACGCAGAAGGAACTCTGTCCTGGGGCTTTGCCAGCACAGCTCTCAGCCTGAGCTGAGGCCCCGCATTGCTAAACCAGTGCATCAGAAGAGACTCTGTGTAGCGAGGGTGTGCCGGTTCTGGACTAAAGTTAGAGAAACTGTACACAACTGCAGAAGAAATGGGGGAGGAAAGGACAAGGAGAGTCCCTGAAGGAGTTATATCTAACAGGCCCTTAGCTCCTGCCACCAGCTTCGCTACCTTTTGCTTAAGGCTTGTAACCAAGCATGGCCCTCAAGCTGCTTTGCTGTCACTCTCTCTTCTCCTACCACTTAAAACCACAGGGGCCTGCAGCAGGAGTTCATGCCAACTCCCTGGCACCACACCAACATGTATTTAGTAAGCACTTGCTCTAAACAGAGGAGACACTGTATGAAGCACTTATGGATTCCTAGGATGGAAAGATGGCAAGATACGGGCTCTAGGCAAAAGGAGTAGAGAACTCACCAGTGCAAATAGCTAGAAAACGATACAAAGCAAAGTAACCTCTAAAAGAAACACAAAGGGCTAGAAGAACTGAAAGAGGAAAAGACTATCAGGCTGGGAAGGGAAAGGAACTCCAGGAAAAGGGGCCATGTGAGCAATGGCATGTGGGTGTAAAGTGCTGGCAGGCTGGGAAGCAGCATACAGCCCAGATGTGCAAGAGTGTGGGACATGTGAATACACACAGTGGAAGAAATGGTTGAAAAATCAAATCATAGATCTTGGGGGCAAGGTTAAAATTTTTATATTTGCTGCCTTTGGCAATCAGAAGCCATTATGAATTTTGAGCATGGAAATGGCATGATTGGAGCCGCACTGGCTTCGGTAAGTTCAAGTGTTACTTTTTGTATGGCCTATAGCTATCTTTTTATTTTTTATTTTTTATTGGGTATGGCAGAAAGTTTCATGGGATAAGGCTGAGTTCTTACCCCCTGAACTAGCAGTTGCAGTGTTCAGCTCACATCACTTCACCACTGAAAAACTTTAATTTACAGCCACATCCATTCTATTTAAGAATTCACAACCAGTTCTCACTTCGGTTTGAGGGGCAACAGAGAGGAGAAGCTGTGCACAGGATGGGAAATAACTGGCTTCAGAGTCTGACAGATTTGGATTTGCATTCTTGGTTTAAAAGTTATTTTCCCTGAACCTCAAGTTCCCACCTGTAAAATGGGAATCAGGGTGGGAATATGAAATGGGAATCATTTCATATTCTCACAGTTATTGAGAATATGAAATGAGATAATGAATGTAAAACCTTTAGCATGGTCCAATCAAGTCTAAAATGTTGTAAACTCTATGGGATAAGTGTCCTAGTTTCTGCAAAAAATAAATTACAAGGAATAAAAAGAGGTAGAAAAGATAGAAACCACAACAGACTTAGAGACATAGCCACCAAATGAAATATATGGCTCTTATTTGGATCCTGATGGAAACAAACTAAGTTTTTTAAAAAAAATTTTAAGTAATTATGGAAATTTAAAGTTTAACTAGAACTTTGATGCTATTAAAATATTATTATCATATTTTTGATATATGGTTGTAAGGTGTTTTGTTTTGTTCAGTTTGACTATAGCAATACTCTTTTATTTTATTTTAATTTTTTAAAATAAATCTTTATTGTTCATATTATTACAAACATTCCTCATTTTTTCCCCCTCATTACTCCCCTCCACCAGGTTCTCACCCCACCCTCTGCCCTTTCCCCACCCCCCATTGTCCTCATCCATAGGTACACAGTTTATGATCAGTCTCTTCCCACACCTCCCACTCCCCTTTTCCCTGAGAATCATCAGTTCACTCTCCTTCCATACATCTGATTCTATTATATTCAACAGTTAATATTGTTCATCAGGTTTTTTAATTTCCTTGGTTTTTAGATTCACTTGTTGATAGTTACATATTTGTTATTCATAATTTTTATCTTTATTTTCTTCCTCTTCCTAAAGAACCCCCTTCAGCAATTCATATAATTCTGGTTTGGCAGTGATGAACTCCTTTAGAAATGATGAACTCATTTCTTTCATAATTTTTATCTTTATTTTCTTCCTCTTCCCAAAGAACCCCCTTCAGCAATTCATATAATTCAGGTTTGGCAGTGATGAACTCCTTTAGCTTTTTTTTATTTTTTATTTTTTTTATTAGTGAAGCTCTTTATCTGGCCTTCGATTCTGAGTGATAGCTTTGCTGAGTAGAGTATTTTTGGCTGTAGGTTCTTGTTATTCATCACCTTGAATATTTCTTGCCATTCCCTTCTGGCCTGCATGATTTCCGTTGAGAAATCAGCTGACAATCATATGGGTGTGCCTTTATAGGTGACTACAGTACCTGCTTTTCTCTTGTTGCTTTGAATATTCTCTCTTTGTCTTTTGCTCTTGGAATTTTAATTATGATGTGTCTTGGTGTCTTTGGATTCCTTTTGTTTTGGGTTCTGCAGGCTTCCTGGACTTGTAAGTCTAATTCTTTCACCAGGTGGGGGAAGTTTTCTGTCACTATTTCTTTCAGTATGTTTTCGGTATCTTGCTCTCTCTCTTCTTCTGGGACCCCCATTATTCTGATGTTAGTTTGTTTGAAGTTGTCCCAGAGGTTTTTTACATTATCTTCAACTTTCTGGATTCTCTTGTCTTCTTGCTTCTGCGGAGGAGTGTCTTCTGGCTCTTTATGTTCCAAATCTTTGACTTGATTCTTGCAATCTTCCATTATGTTTTTAGGACTCTGTATAATATTTTTTATTTCAGACAATGTATTCTTTATTTGTAGTTGATCCCTTTTTATATCCTCATAGGTCTCATTTATTTTATTGGCCTTTTCTAGGAGATTCTTGAACAACCTTATAAGCGTGGTTTTGAACTCTATATCCAGTCGCTTTTTGTCCTCCATTTCTTTCTTTTGTGATCTGTTTCCTTGTCTCTGTATTTTCACAGCTTCCCTGAGTTGGTAGCCTTAAAAGTCTCTGTGTTCAGCTTGGATGGGACAGAGTTTCAGGGTGGAGCCTATAGCCTTGGCTTCCATCAGCTCAGCCCTATGAGGCTCCTGAGTCTCAGTGTTCCTCGGTATCCTTCAGTACTCACTGCAAGCACCTCTGAGAGAAAGGTGCCCTCGAGTTTCACTTGCTACCAAACAGTCTAGGCTCTCCCCCAATGAGCCTGGAACTGGGTTCAGTTCAGTTGGAAATGGGGTTGGAAGTGGGGTTTAGAGCAGTCTGGAGCTTTTGTCTCCTTACCGCTAGAGCAATCCAGTGGCACAGTTAACAGTCCGTCCTCTGCACACAATGTGCGCGCCTCTGGGACTGCTTTTCTCCGCTCCCCTGAGTTTCTGCCTTACAGCCCAGGCTCTCTCCGTATGAGCCTGGATCCCCAGGATCTGGTCTAGAACTGGGGTTCAGTGCAGTCGGAACTGGGGCTCAGCATAGTCTGGAGCTTTTGTCTCCTTCCTGTTAGGGCAATCCAACAGCACAGTCAATAGTCTGTCCTCTGAGAGAAATGTGCGTGCTTCCGGGACTGCCTTTCGCCGTTTCCCTGAGTTTCCACCTTATAGCCCGGACTCCCTCTGTATGGGCCTGAGTCCCCAGGGTCTCGCCCAAAACTGGGTTCAGTGCTGTTGGAACTGGAGTTCAGCACAGTCCAGAGCTTTTACCTCCTTCCCACTAGGGAACACCAGCCAGGCACTCAGCCTCCCCCTCCTCTCTGGCTCCGTCCTCTCCCTGAGCTCTCAACGTGTCTCCGTACCTTAGGCTTTTACAGCTCCTCTGATTTTCCTTCTGGTTTTCTCTTTCCTTCTAGTTGTAGAATTTCCCGTCAGTCAACTTTCCTGTAGTTTTGGGTAATGTCCATTTTATATTTTAGTTGTATTTTATTGAAATTGTTGTGTGAGGCTTCAGTTAGGTGCTTACCTATGCCACCATCTTGGTTTTTTCTGTAAAGGTTTTTTAGAGTTTTTATGGTAGCTGTCATAATAACATTCTTTCGGGAGAATAATATCTGGTGGCTGGGATTTCCTTCAAAATAATCCCAGTTTAGAGAAAGAGTAGTGTGTTTGTGTGTGTGTGTGTGTGTGTGTGTGTGTGTGTGTGTGTCTAAGTGTAGATAAATAGATAAAACATGATTGGCCACATAATCAAGTGATTGTTGAAGTACTGTAATGAGTATCAGAAGATTCATTATATAATTACCTCAACTTTTTTTTTTAATATATTTTTATTAATTTTTTACAGAGAAGAAGGGAGATAGATAGAGAGCCAGAAACGTCGATGAGAGAGAAACATCGACCAGCTGCCTCTTGCACAACCCCTACTAGGGATGTGCCCGCAACCAATGTACATGCCCTTGACCGGAATCGAACCTGGGACCTTTCAGTCCGCAGACCGATGCTCTACCACTGAGCCAAACCGGCTTTGGCTCAACTTTTTTATGTTTGAAAATTTCCATAATAAAATACTTTTAAAAGGAAAAAGGGGTAATAGCATATATTTTACATGGGTTATCTGAATATTAAATGAGATAATACAAATAAAAGCGCAATATAATAATGTATAATAGTATCTGGTATATAATAGGTTTTTGAAAAATGTTAATTTTCCCTTTTCTTTATCATTCAAAATACAGCTCCTACTCCATCTCTTTCTCTGTCTCTGTCTCATACATGCCCCCCCCCCCCCACAAACACACACACACTCACACTCACATACATGATATTCTGCAAGGGTTGAACTACCCTAGTGGGGGATTATGAAAGACTCAATTCCTCTCTATGGGAAATAAATGGCTGCTGACTTTAATTAGTCTTCAGCAGTCTGATACCTTCCTTCTTTGGGAAGGGAAGCAACTCCTGAACTCTGTAAATAATCCTATCTAATAAAAAAGTAATATGCAAATTGATTGTCACTCCAACACACAATATGGTAACCCTCATGTGGACACAAGATGACTGTCACAAGATAGCCAGCAGGGAGGGCAGTTGGGAAGGACCAAGCCTGCAAGGGAAGGGCAGTTGGGGGCAATCAGGCCTGCAGGGGAAGACAGTTGGGGAGGACCAGGCCTGCAGGAGAGTGCAATTGGGAGAGACCCAGGCCTGGTGCAGAGGGCAGTTGGGAGGGACCAGGCCTGCAAGGGAGGGCAGTTGGGGGCAATCAAGCCTGCAGGGGAGGGCATTTAGGGGTGATCAGGCCAGTGGAGGAGGGACTTGCGGGTAACCAGGCCTGCAGGGAAGAAGAGTTTTTTGGTTTTTGGGGGAGGGGAATTCAGGGTGGCAGGGGAGAGCAGTTGGGGTGGACCAGGCCTGCAGGGGACGGCATTTGGGGGCAACCAGGTCTGCAGGGGAGGGCAGTTGGGATGATCAGGCTGGCAAGGGAGGACAGGTAGGGACAATCAGGCTAGCAGGGGAGTGCAGTTAGGTGTCAATCAAATTGGCAGGGGAGTGGTTAAGGGGTGATCAGGCTAGCAGGCAGAAGAAGTTAGAGGAAATCAGGCAGGCAGGAGAGCAGTTGGGAGCCAGCAGTCCTCAACTGTGAGAGGGATGTCCAATTTCCTATTTAGGTGAAATCGGGCCTAAACAGGCAGTCAGACATTTCTCAAGGAGTCCCAGATTGGAGAGGGTGCAGGCTGGGCTGAGGGACACCCCCTTCCCCCATACACAAATTTTGTGCCCTGGGCCTCTAGTAACTAATACAAAATGGGAAGCAATGTGCTCTGGGGAGAATTCAAAGCTTGCAAAATTCAGGCAGTGCCTGTGGTTCAGCTCTCAGCCTCTGGAAGGGATCAAGGCCTCTCATAGGGCACCCAAGTGCTGCTGCCTGACCACCAAAGGAGATGTCTAAACTGAGACCAAATAATAGGTATCAATCCCCAAAGGACCCCTTTTATTTTATTTTACTTAAAATTTTTAAAATTGGTTTTAGAGAGGAAAGAGAGGGAGACAAACATTAATGATGAGAGAGAATCATTAACTGACTGCCTCCTGCATCTCCCATACTGTGGTAAGAGCCCGCAAACCAGGCATGTACCCTGACTGGAAATCGTACCGTGACCTCAACACTCAACTATTGAGCCACACCGGCTGGGTGAAGACCCTCTTTTTAAAAAGAACACTTACCTGAGATGGAGTTTCTACTCCCTGAAATTTATAACTGGTGGTTGTATCTGTTCGTCGTTCTCCAAAATAACGAAGGCTTTCCTATAGAAATGAGGGCAATCCGATTATGGTCATCTGTACTTTCCTCTCTTGATTAAGGTATTCTTAATGTTTCTAAGGGCACACATTCCCCGAAGTCAGCAGTCTCTGGCCTGAGGCTACCCAAAATAAAATTAGCAAAGCCACATCAAGGCCACTCTCATTCCAAGATTCATAAAGACACAGAATTTTAGAGCCGGGAAGACCTTAGAGGTGATCTGGTCTGTCTTCCTACCTTTCCATTTTAAAAATGGAGAAGATTAAGACAGAAAGAAAAGCTGGTGACTGCTATGGTGAGGATGTAGCCAGTTAGCAACACATGGGGCTCGCTGTCTAAGGCTTCCAAAATGTTTTATTTAAAAGCAACAATCTACATTAATAAGCTAGGGGACACACACACACACACACACACACACACACACAACTGAAACACAATTTCACAAAACAATATTTACCTTTTAATATTGCCTAATCTATTCCATTTTATTTTAAAAAAAGTATGAGTCACAACCCAATACGTTGATTTTATCATTCACTAATAGATTTTAATGCAAAATTTAAAAAGCATTGTCCTTGAACAATGACTCCCAAACTTTTCCATTTCATGGCACATTAACTAATTACCAAAATTCTGCAGCACACCAAAAAAATACATATTTTTTGCCAATCTGACAAAGTATAGGTATAATTTTGATTCATTCACATCAGATAGCTATTGTTGTGTGGCTACTGTCATTTTATAATATGACAATCTAAGGGAAAAGAGGTCTGTGCCCTTGATTAAACACTCAGTTATTGCACAATTTAAAAATTCTTGTGGCACACCGATTGAAAATCACTATTCTAGAACATCCATTTGTATAACCTGCCTCAAATTAGAAAAAAGAAGATGGTGGAATTAGAGTGTTGGGCATGGTGCATAATGCACAGCTTCTCTTAACTTGACTGTGGGCCAAGTGAGGAGCAGAGCTACTGGGAGTGTGTCCTCTTAGTGGTAACTTCTCAGCAGAATTGAAACAACCCACCATGTCTTCTCAGAAATTTCCAGAGGGCTGAGACCCCACAGAGAGTGACTATGCAAAAGTAACACTCAGGAGAGACTGTTTTGAGTTGGAAAACACCACCTTTTATCTCTACCTAGCCCTTCAAAGGATCAAGGTCCTTTAGAGAACTTACCCAATCAACCTTGACATTCTTCTTGTGAGAAAGGAGGAAGTTCCATAATTGGTCAGAATAAGTGTAGGACAGGACTAGGAGACAAGCTTTTTTGCACTGCATAATTTGACCTTACTCACCTCACCTTAATCTTGCCCCTATTGGATCCTGCCTTTATTTAAAATGTTGATACTGCATACATACATCATTGATTTTTGGCATTAATTTTCATTTAAAAATATTGCATGAGGATATTATTTATCTTGACTATGAGTATTTTGTCACTCTCATAAATTTTTCTATGGCGCACTTAGTGTCTCACTGACATCACCCTAGTCCTGGCCCAGAGTAAGAGGTATCCAGGTTAACTTGTTGTAACTACCACAAGTTAAACAAGGAAGAGTTAAAATCAAGCTTTTTAATGACAGCCTCTCACATTACAATTTCATTATGTACCATGACTCAAATGATCATCCTACCCTACCAATGACATTTCAGCACTAATAAATGCAGTCAGCATACACATTTGTAGTAACATCTTTCATACCTCTGCAGTTGTAAATACTTCACAGATAATAAGGCAGGCACAAATCATAGTTCCACTTCTTCCTAGAAAAGGAAAGAAGTTAGCTCATTATTCATGGCAATATGTGGTTATAAAAATACTCTCAGCAATATCCAGAGGTCATTTTCAATTTATTTTCTTTCACTCTGAAGGTGCTTGTTCAGAAAACTTCAAGTCAGAAATAGCCAAAGCTGTTTCACTGCTCCAAGGTTCTCCTAGGAATTCTTCCTAACTATGTGCATAAATGCACATGTACTGTGTGCATTGTTCTTGAATCCAACTCTGCTTAGGATTCTAACACTACAGAGCTATTCGCCAGTGAAGAGTAACATCAATAAAAGAACATGGTTAGAACCCCAAATACTATCTAGCATTTTCAATACCCATTATTCTTTTCATTTTAAAGTTTTTAAGTGTGTTATAAAATACTAGAGGCCCGGTGCATAAAATTCATGTACAGGGGTGGGGTGTCCCTCAGCCCAGCCTGCACCCTCTCTAATCTGGGATATCCCTCTCACAATCCAGGACTGCTGGCTCCTTACTGCTCACCTGCCTCTGCCTGATTGCCCCTAACTGCCCTCTCCTGCCAGTCTGGTCGCCCCTAACTGTCCTCCCCTGCAGGCCTGGTCATACCCAACTGCCCTCTCCTGCAGGTCTGGTCCCTGTCCTCCCCAACTACCCTCTCCTGCTGGCCTGATCTCCCAACTGCCCTCCTCTGCCACCCCGGTCATCCCTAACTGGCCCCCCTGCTGGCTTTATTGTCCACAACTGCCCTTCCCTGCAGGCCTGGTCCCCCCCGCCCCAATTGCCCTTTCCTGCTGGCCTAGGTCTCCCCAACTGCTCTCTCCTGCAGGCCTTCTCCCCTCAACTGCTCTCCCTTGCAGTCCTGGTTCTCCCCCCCTCCCCCAAACTGCCCTCCTCTGTCAACCTGGTCACCTCCAACTGTCCTCCTCTGCTGGCCTGATCACTCTAAATGACTACAACTGCCCTCCCCTGAAGGCCATCTTGTGGTGGCCATCTTGTGTCCACATGGGGGCAGCCATATTTGATTACATGGGGGCGGCCATCTTGTATCTTGGAGTGACAGTCAATTTGCATAGTACTCTTTATTAGATAGGATATAAAAACATAAAACAGTATAATGAACCCCATACACCCAGTTCACAGATTCTATAATTATCCTATATAATAAAAGCCTAATATACTAAATGTCTGGTCCTCCAGTTGTCAGTTCAACCAATCAAAGTATAATATGCTAATGATATGCTAATGTCACTCAATGCTTGCTATCATGTGCAATGACCACCAGGGGGCAGACACTCTGACTAGCAGATTAGCTTGCTGGGATCTGGCTGATCAGGACTGAGCGAGATCGGCAGGACACACCCTGGAACCCTCCTGAGGTCCCTCCTTGGCTGGCCAACCTCCTGTGTCCCTCCCTGGCCCCAATCATGCACTAGTGGGATCTCTGGGCCTGGCCTGTGTCCTCTCACAATCTGCAACACCCCAGGGGACGTCAGAGAGCCAGTTTTGGCCCAACAGCAGAATGACCAGTCACTATGGTGCGCATTGTCCACTAGGGGGCAGATGCTCAACACAGGAGCTGTCCCCTAGCGGTCAGTGTGCTCCCACAGAGGGAGTGCCACTTCGCCGGAAGCCAGGCCGTGGCCGGTGAGTGCAGTGGTGGTGGCGGGAGCCTCTCTTGCCTCTGTGGCAGTGCTAAGGGTGTCTGCCTGCTGGCTTAAGCCGTCAGTCAGACATCCCCCAAGGGCTCCTGAACTGTGAGAGGGCACAAGCCGGGCTAAGGGATCCCCTTGAGCGCACGGATTTTGTGCACCAGGCCTCTAGTCATATTATATTGTTTACTTGGTTTTTTAAATTTATTTTTAGAGAGAAAGAAATGGAGAAAGAAAAACCATCAATTCTGTTTTTTCACTTATTTATGCATTCATTGGTTGATTCTTGCATGTGCCCTGACAGGGGATCAAACCCACAACCTTGGCATATCAGGTTGATTCTCTAACCGAGTGAGCTACCCAACAAGGGCCTATTGAGCTTTAATTTCTCTCTTCCTTTTTTTCTCCTGTGTTTCCTCTCTCCTTCCTTCTTTTGCACTTGCACTTCTATAGCACTTAGATGCACATACCCTGCATCTATAAAGTATCTAGTGTTTGATACCTGGGTTTAAAACAAATCCTTGATTTCATGTCATTTCATGTCAAGAGCGATAGGTGTGATTGTGTGTGTGTGTGTGTGTGTGTGTGTGTGTGTAAGTTGCATGTATCTCTATCTAATACATATTACTTTTTTCCTTAAAGTCTCTTATGTTTTATTCCAATACATATTTTTGACAAACAAAATTTGAGTTAAAAACGTTGCTTTTTATTTTTATAATGATCTGTAGCTTTTGTCTTACCAGTATATGATGAACTTATTTTATCCAATTTCAAACTTATCCCTTTAACTTGAGATGCAACCTATTTTCTATTTTAGCTTTTTAAAAGAAACTACTAAACTTATTTTACAACCCATAGTTTGAAAACCTCTATTCTAAGCCAAGTTCTTCCAAAGAAAACTTTGGACCATCCTATGCTATGATAAATAAAAGCTTTTTAATAACCCAGCTTTCAGTTGTATGTGGACTGTTAATATTTCAATTGTGGAGAGATCTTTGGGTCCCTATAACTCTGATATCTTCCAGTTGAAAAGCACTTTTGCAGATTTGTATCCCTGTGGATAAGTACAACTGCATACACAGTAAATGCCCTCTCACCAAGGGAAGTCAGGGACAACAGGGAATCATAAAAATAACCCTGCCTATTTTCACTTTAAATGAATGTATATTTATTAACTATATTTCTGATTTTAGACAAAGATTCTGAAGATTTTTTTTCTTGGAAAGACTAGGTCCGTGGTATAAATCATGGCATCATCTATAATTCTTATTTTCCGATTTTTGAAAGCAATCTAGGAGCAGAACCCCTTTAGATTTTACTACTGGAATTTTTCCCCCAATTGTTTTACTTCACTTTTACTTGGCTGCAATTATGGTTGTAGCCACTCAATTTATTGAATCTTCTTAAAATATTTAACTTGTTTCCTAAAACTATAACTTGCTCCATTCACTCTAACATTTTAGATTATTTGACGTAAGTATAATAACAGATGGAACTGGCAGACACTGGAGAAGCAGAAACAGACAGGCACACTTCTGAGAAGCTTTCTGGCTGCAATTTGTCAGCCTGTCAAAGGACACCAACAGGCGAGCTCACAGAGGGAATGAGAGCATCATATAAGCCCCTAAATTGGTTAGTTGGAAGTCATTAAGAGATCTGTTACCCTGAAGTTGTCACCAGCCTCTTGCACCTCTAAATGTAATAAAATTCTTGGCTTTCATAATGATAACTATCATTTGGGTTTACATATCTCGTATAATCTTTACAACAACTCTGTGAGGAAGGAGAAACTGAGGTTTTGCAAGTTTAAGAAACTTTCACATAGTCAAAATAGCAAGCCAGCTTATATGACCTTTTATAACAACCCTTAAGCTTAAGTCTTTTTCCATCACCCATCCCCACTGTGTAGACTTACATTTTAAATTCTTGGATCTATAAGCAGATCTATAATCTATGAGGTGATTTTTCAGACACCAAGAGTGGTAGGTGTGAGTGTGTGTGTGCGTGTGTGTGTGTGTGTGTGTGTGTGTGTGTTGTGTGTGTGTGTGTATGTGTGTAAGTTGCATGTATCTCTATCTAATACATATTATTTTTTTTCTTAGTAAACAATAGACTGTGGTCTCCATAGAAGAAGTGCATGTGTCTGCTTAATACTTATCAAATACCCTGCATCTATACAATACCTAGTGTTTAATATATGAACGAATGTACATTTATACTCTTCCAATTTATCATGACATCCAGTCCCATGACAACTCCTTTTTCTCGTTTTGTTTTCACTTCCTCATTCAACTAGATGCACAATGAACAATTTCACTGTTGGCTTTACCAATGCCACATAACATTGCCTTGCTTGCTTCTGGGTCCTTTTGTTCTATCCACTCTGTAAAAGCCAAATACTTGGTTAATTTGGGCATCCACTTCCTCCATTCTTACATATAAAAACATCAAATACACATAGACCAGAAAAGCAGAGAACTGTTAGAGAAAAATCACACAACTTTTAATCCTATCTAATAAAAGAGTAATATGCAAATTGACCATTACTCCAAGACACAAGATGGCAAACCCCCGTGTGGACACAAGATGGCCTCCACAAGATGGCCTGCAGGGAAGAGCAGTTGTGGGCAGTTAGGGGTGACCAGGTCAGCAAGAGAGGGCAGTTGGGGGAGACAAGGCTAGCAAGGGTGGGGAGCTGAGGGGGACCCAGGCCTGCAAGGGAGGGGAGTTGGGGGGGGGGGGGAAACCCAGGCCTAAAGAGGAGGGCAGTTTGGGGGAACCAGACCTGCAGGGGAGGGCAGTTGCGGGGGGACCTAGGCCTTCAGAGAAGGGCAGTTGTGGGTGATTAGGCAAGCAGAGAGGGAAGTTAGGAGTGACTGGGGTGGCAGGAAAGGGCAGTTGGGGGAGACCAGGACTGCAGGGTAGGGCAGTAGCGGGGGGGGGGGGGGGGGGGGGGGGAGACCAGGCATGCAGTGGAGGGAAGTTGGGGGGGACCCAGGCCTGCAGGGGAGGGCAGTTGTGGAGGACCAGGCCTTCAAGGGAGGACAATTGGGGGGGAACCAGGTCTGCAGGGGAGGACAGTTGGGGTGATCAGGCAAACAGGGAGGGCAGTTAGGGGTGACCAGGGTGTCAGAGGAAGGCAGTTGGGGGAGACCAGATTAGCAGGAGAGGACAGTTGGGGGGGACAAGGACTGCAGGGGAGGGCAGTAGTGGGGAGCAAGCCTGTAAAAGAGAGCTGTTTGGGGTTCCAGGCCTGCAGGGGAGGGCCGTTGTGGGCGGACTAGGCTTACAGTAGTGGACAGTTTTGGGGGGAACCAGGCCAGCAGGTAGGACAGTTGCAGGGACCCAGGCCTGTAGGGAAAGGCAGT